GCAGCAGCAGCAGGAGCAGGAGCAGGAGCAGGAGCAGGAGCAGCAGGAGCAGGAGCAGCAGCAGGAGCAGCAGGAGCAGGAGCAGGATAGCAGCAGGAGGAGCAGGAGGAGCAGGAGCAGCAGCAGCAGCAGCAGGAGCAGCAGCAGCAGGAGCAGCAGGAGCAGGAGCAGCAGGAGCAAGGAGCAGGAGCAGGATAGCAGCAGGAGCAGCAGGAGCAGCAGGAGCAGGAGCAGCAGCAGGAGCAGGAGCAGGAGGAGCAGCAGCAGGAGTAGGAGCAGGAGCAGGATAGCAGCAGGAGGAGCAGGAGCAGGAGCAGGAGCAGCAGCAGCAGCAGCAGCAGCAGCAGGAGCAGGAGGAGCAGCAGCAGTAGCAGGAGCAGGAGCAGGAGCAGGAGGAGCAGCAGCAGGAGTAGGAGCAGGAGCAGGATAGCAGCAGGAGGAACAGGAGCAGCAGCAGCAGCACGGTCGCCGCCGCCGGGGGCCGCTGTTGGCCGCGCAGAGCGCGAGTCGGGCGGGGCGGTGGCAACGCGTGTGCGAGCCGCCCCCCCACCAGCAACCGCCCCGGGGCGGGGGGGGGCGCCGCCGGCCTCTCCCGCCGGGCCCCGCCCCTCCCGTCAGGCCCCGCCCCTCCCGCCAGGCCCCGCCCCCCCCGCGCCCCCGCCGCGCGTGGGGCCGCGTGGCCGCCGAGCTGCCGCCGGAGGGATTTAGCTGTTGGTTTGGCTTTGGAAATCTTTTTTTTGTTGCCTCCGGGTTAAAAAGGCGGCCGGCCCAAATGGGGAGGCAAACGGTGCTGTTGGTCCCAAGCGGGATTTTTCGTCGCGAAACAGGCGTTTTGGTGAGAGCACCCCCCCCCCCCCCCCATTTCAGCTAGCCCTGGCTGTGTCTGGCTCGGTGTGTTTTACCCACACAGGCTCTTAGGAGGGCAAAGAATAAGAGACCGAGACCCTGCAGGCTCCCCTCTGAAGCTGGGACAGGCTGTTCCCGGTGTCACACCGTGTGCTGAGGGTTTGGTCCTGTCGTCTGAGTCTGTTCCTGATGAAGGGACAGGTTGCTTTATAGCCCAGTGATGGGTTTCTCCTTTTTTTTTTTTTTTTTTTTTTTTTTTTTTTTTTTTTTCCACCCAGAGTCAGAAAAGGTCTTTCATCACCACTTTGTGGTGAAAAGTTTGATCTATTCCCTCCATCTCTTGACCTCCTGGAGAAAAGTACTTTCTTCTTCCCTTGTATTTCAGGGTCTGAAGTGGAGAGTGCCTGCCTGTGCTTCAGCCGGTAGCATTTGCAGGGCAGGGAGGTTTTACAGTTAGCATGGAAGGCTACATCCCCATTGCCGTGTCACTGCTACTGAGCGAAATAGGTTAAAGCAGTGGTAGTGGTGCCTGGCCTTAGCACCTCCAGACTCCTAAATACTGTCAAACAAAATTAGCAGCATAGCAGGTTCTTCAGCGATACTACACTATTTCTTCTTATGTTGTTTGGGAGCCCTTAGAGACCACTATCTCGCTGTGCGAGGTGCTACGCAAGACGAGCAAAAAATGATCCACACCCAAAGATCCTTCAAATGTAAGAGCAGAGACAGCAGGTGACATGGAAATGTGGGAGACCGCAAGGAAACCCTGAGACAATTTCGGTCAGCAAGGTTGTTCAGCGGTATCAGCCTGGCCTCTGCCGAGAGTCTGTTAGCACTGCAGAATACAAGAGTTTGAAAGAAAGGCTTCAAAAAGAAGTAATGAAATGCAAAGCTTAGTCTGACTGTGTTCAGCCACATGATCAACGACTCTGGCTGCAGCTGGAAGGCAGGCAAGGTATGCAAAGTGTAATCCAAGCGAGAAACAACTCTAAGAGGAAATGATAATGAAGAAGCTGAAAAAATGCTTGGGATATCAGATCAGCATCTAAAACACAAGGTCAGAGCATCATACAGTTATTTAGGTTGGAAGGACCTCTGGAGGGCATCTGTTTCAACTTCCAGCGACTGGAGGGGAATGGAGCCCTTAAGATGTTCAGGGTGTTTGTAATATAAAAATACGTGTTTTGTTGAAGGGGTATATCAAGTTGTGGGAAGCATACAGTGGTGGAAGGAATACAAGCAATAATAAAAACAATTTGAAGATCAAGTCTGGCTTGTTCTGGGACTTGTGAAACATCTTTTCAAGCTGACTTACAGAACCCAGAGCATCAGTGGGTTTCTAGAAAGTATAAAATACATTTAAGATCACAATAGTATGTTTCTGTACCATCCAAATAAGGAACCATTTCCAGAAGTGACTGGCATGTCTGTTCTGGAAGTCAAAAGACTTGAAATCCTAATGGATTTATTCATTTTTGCAGATACCCTGTCTGATCTGTATAGAATAAGCATTCTGTGCTCCTTTGCCACCTTGCTGACCTTTCACTTGTTTAGTCTTACTTGATAAGAAGACGTTTGTTTAGTGTTCACATCTGCAAACGACACGAAGTACAGGGAAGCAGCAAATGGCATCTTTTACACCTGACATACTTAGCAAGAATACTAATTCAAGAATTATCACAGTAGGATATAGAGGGTCAGTTATAAAGGTTGAAAAGGCTTTGCTGAGCTTACGTTTCCACTTAACTTTCCTTTCTTGAATACCATCGCTCCATATAGTTTGTTCCTGTTGTTTTAAACACATGCTTTCAAGTGGTTCTGTTTTGTAGCAATTGGTAGTGTTGGACACCATCATAACCTAGGACTTTCAGATTTGTTTGTTTGGCTTTTTTTATACATACTTATTAAACAGAAGCTATAAAGCAAGATAGGGTGAGTGACTCATTTCACTGAGAGACGGTATGTACATGTTCTATTCTTTGTCACCGTGTGATGGAATAAAGAAATCAGGCTAACAGAGACAGAAACGCATAAGCTAATACTGATTCTCTCTAGCAGACATGAAAAACATCCCAAATCCCCTCCAGAATATCCAAGGCGATTAAATCTGAGTAGAATCCTCAAAAATTAAACAAAACCCATGCAAGCTGAAAAAGATCGAAAACTTAAAGGACAAAACATAGCAGCCCACACTAGGCACACTGTTGCTTATATATAACAATTAAAGTCTTCAGAAACCTCAAGTCAGGAAATTTTCTGCTGCGAGCAGCATGACCAGCAGCCCCCTTGATTGTTAAACTGGTTGATGAGATGCATTAAGAGATCAGCTTTTCAGTTATTTATACTTTTGTCAAAATATTTGAGCTAAAATTTCCTCTACTGGAGGTGGAATATGTTCCAGGTAAAAATAGTTCAGCTATTTTCAGAAATGAAACTGTAAGAAAAGATAATGTTTTCTGATGTTCTTTTTGAGATGTTCTGTGTTGTGTTTTGGGGGGGGGATACTGTAACTGTGGCAGCAGTCTCTTCCAAAGGAGTGACACCTGCCACCTGACATTTCATTCATACTTGGCAAGCTTGCCAAGAGACGATGGAACCAGACTGCTCTCAGTGGCCCTGGGAAAGCACAAGCGGCAGCAGCCGTGACTTGTAACAAATTCCCGTGTCGGGCATTTAAAAAGCCTCTCCCCAGGGCATGTTTCAGCACTGGAGAGGTGTCCGGAGAGACTGAGGAATCCAGAAGCTGCCTGGACAAGCCCTGAGCAACCTGAACCAGCTCCGGGTCCCGAGAGCACCCTCCTTGCTCGTGGGGCTTTGGCTGTGTGAGCTTGGGGTCAGGTCAGAGGCAGTGCAGCTGAGGGCTGCCCCTTCCCTCTGGTGACTTTGGGGGAGTTTCCAGGAAGCTCGGCTGGAACCTCATCCAGGGCTGCACCCCTGCCCCAGGAGCTGCTTTTAAGCTGGTGGTCTTGGCCTTGGCTCCTGCCTGAGCAGTTTTGCCTGTGCCTGACCACGCACTGTGTTGATCTAGACCCGTGGATAGGCTTCCTGGCTTGACCTGAGACCTGCCCTGTCACCATGGACTTGTCTGGCAGTCGCGGGACCGTGGCTCACCCTGATTACTGCTTCCGGAGCTGATTCTGATACTGATTTGACTTCTTAGGTTGACCTTGGACCTGCCTCGTCACCACAGGCTTGTCTGATGATCTGGATTCGCAACTGGACTTGGCTATCATCACCATCCCTTCCTTGCTCTCCTTGTTTGGGTGCTTCCCCTTGCTGGGGAAGTCCCTTTCTCTGCCTGCCTTGTTACCATGCCTGGCTCTCCGCTGCCGTTCCTCTGGGGAGCAGCCAGCCCTCACTGCCCCCAACAACCTGCTGTGAGCAGGAGGTTGGGGTAGAGACCTCCAGAGGTCCCTTCCCACCCAAATCTTCCTGTGAATTTATGGCAGTGCTCTAGACAAGGTAAAAGGAAAATAAAATTCAACTTCACTGGGCAGGGAAGAAAACATAGCAGTGAAAGCATTGTGTTGTTTCTCAGGTGCCTGTTGTATTATATCTGGGAAGGGAGAAAGGACCAGAGGAACAGGGGCAAGGAATGGGGTCTAGGAAAGAAGAAGGTGGAGGAAGATGTGGGAAAGAAGAAGATGGAGGAAGATGTGGAAATCTACAGCACTGCAGCTGCTCTATTATCACTCTACTGCTCTGTAAATCACAGAACAAAAGGGTAACATCAGGCCCTAGCAGAAGATATGCACACAGTTCTGCTACCTCTCCAGCTGCACTATATCACCAATGATTCGCATTCACATGGCAGTCCTGAGTTTTCAAAATAGAAATACCTATTGCCCTGTAAGCCCTCCTCCATCTCTCCCACTGCATCTCTCAGACACCATTAAATGTCCTTCAGCTGCAGGCGTATTTCAAGGCTGGTCTGCTGGTGATGCACAGGCTGAGAAAGGGGACAGAACTGGCCTACCCAGGGCATATGTCTCCCAGGGCAGCCTGTGACACAAGGATCTCTCTGTGGAGAGGCCCATCATCTCCTGCAGGTCTTCTTGAAGGCCTGCTTCTACCATCACCTGTAGCCTCAAGAGAGGCTGGAAAGATGTATTTAAAACCCTATGTCTCCTAAAATGTGTTGTAACACAAAACTATGCTGCATAACAATATATTTATTCCCACAACAGCCATATTGAAACAAGATTAATTGATAAATTAGAAGTGTAAGAACCAGGACTTTGCTCTGAACCGCATTTCTTGTCACTTTCCCTTACCCTTCCTTTAACATTTCCAAAATATACCATAATCGACCCACTCTGGGATAGCCTGAATCCTGTCGGAAGCCACAGAGTGGCTGTTTTACAATGCAAGTGGAAAGGCAACCCCTGGTCACTAGCAGGAGTGAAAAACTGGGTTTTCTTGCCCTGCCTGTGTACAGCTGGATCTCTTGCTTCTGGGGAGATTTATAGGGCCTTTGCATACAGTGCAGGCTGAAAAAGCATGTACAAACAGTTCAAGCAAATATATTTCACCGCAGTCTCATTCTGTGACATCGTTTCTTTTTAACAGTGAAAATCACTTCAGACCTGAAATTAATCACCCTATGGCCAAGCAACAAGAAAGTGCAGAGCACTATCATCGATGTGAGCTTCAGAAATGATGACAGTATTGGTATCCTCTCTTTTTTTCTGGCACCATTATGAATGTCAGGTGTATTTTTAAGCATGCTAGTGTTTCCCAAGCCGTTTTGCTTTAGGTAAATATATAGCCATTGTGCTGCATGTGTGTGTGTACAGCTGCACAAGCACATTCAACATACCTCCAAAAGATTGTTCTGCTGAGATCTGTGACTTACTCTACAATTAGGAAACAATTCTCTGCAAGAATACTAAACACTCAGCTACTCTTCTTGACCCCAGCAAGGGTTGCTAAATGCTTCAACTCTTTTGGAAAATTAAGACACTTCTTTAGGTGTCCCAAGCTGGACTTAAGACTCAAATTGAAGCATCTAGTTAAAAAAAAAACAACAAAGTTTCCCCCAGGCATTACTACTCTGTCAGCAGTGAGTACCATACCTGTGCTCTGATTATCCCCAGAACTGCTTTACACTAAAGTGCAGATGGGAGCTGTTCAAGCAGGATGGACTTGCTATAGTGATCTGTGCTGACCAGACCTGGACATACTGGGTTTGTTTCAAGTCCTTGTTCCCTACTGTGTTTCCTGTCAAAAGAGTCAGGTGGGACCATGTCACCGAGACATCTCTATTTATTCAAAACAACCTTTTGTCTTTCAGCTTTGTGTCATCACATTCATCCACATGCAGTCTGCTAAGTTTCCCACAGTCTTGCTGAAATTATTGAATGGGTGACTGCAACTCTGCAATGGTATGACCTTTCTGTGGTTATATTTCTGAGTCCTCAATAGGGCCATTCAAAAATACTGCAGTAGGAAGTGGTGACAGAGATTCCTTGGGATGGATAAAGTTTTCAGCTGGGAACTGTTTCACTTTTGAGACAGTATGGTTTCGGATTGACTTATTCTCCACAACTTGATTCTTAAGCATCCCTATATCTGAGTCCCAGGCTTGTCCCCGCCGCAGTTTCTTAAAGGTGTTACGAAAACCCTCAGTACTGAAGTAGTAGATCAAGGGGTCCAGCGTGCAGTTCATGCTGGCCAACAGCATTGTCATAATTAACACCTGGCGCACAGAGGTCTGTGTTTCTTGCTCAACCTTCATCACCCGGGCCTTTATCAACCCATAAACTGCCAGGGTAGTGTTGTAGGGCACAAAACAGATGATGAAGATGACCAGATTGACCAAGAGAAGACGGACGGTCTTCTGCTGCCGCAGGGTTTTTGTCTGGCTGTCCTGGCAGAGCTCCTGAAATATCCGAATCGAGCAGTATGTCACACAGCTGAGAGGCAGGAGAAAACCCAAGATTTCAGCCAAGACAACTAGGGGGAAGAGGTTATTCTGCCACATGTTGTCACTGAAGCTTTCAAAGCACAGATAAACAGTCTTGTTCTGTACCTCACAGTGATTTTGCTTGTGGACTATGGCTGTGGGGATGGAGCCCATGAAGATCACAACCCAGACGATCAGGCAAAGGAGCTTGGCCACCTTGGGTCGCCGCAGATGCCGCCAGCGAAGTGGGTGGACGATAGCAACATAACGATCCAGGTTGATGCACATGAGGAAGAGGCAGCTACCATACATGTTGATCTGGAAGACGGAACCAGAGACCTGGCACAGGGTGTTACCAAAGGGCCAGTGGTGGTTGGAATAGTAGTAGAGCCGCAGTGGCAGAGGGAGTGTGAAGGTGAGGTCGCTCACAGCCAGGTTGAACATGTAGATCATCACCACAGACTTCAGGCGCAGGTAGCGGATGAATATCCACAGGGCCATCACATTCAGCATCAAACCTGTAATGAATATCAGGATGTATCCAGGCAGGAGGAGGTGGTGGTTGAAGCTGTAATCCTTGCATGTCTGAGATGCATTGAAAGCTGACATGCCCAGCAGGGATCAGGGAAAGTCTTGCTGAGATGGCTGAGCCTTCTGGTGGGCTAAGGCGCAAAGAAAAGAGCTGAGAGAAGTCATTCCCCTCTAGGAAGCTACGGGTAGGTCATTCCCCTCATCTGCAGCTGGGAGGTAGATAGGCACAACTCTTTCTTGACTGGTGCTGCTTTGGATTGCTGGTCAGTGGTCATCTGTCAGGGATGGTAACCCAGTCAGCTAGAGTTAGCTTCTGCCTATAGTTCAGCAATTCTTTCCAGTGATTATGGTGATGATGATGCAATGGAGGGTCATTGCCAGTTGTTGAATGTCAGCACAATTCCTGGTCAGAGTGGAAGACCAAAACAGGAGGGTTTTAAGTTAGAGGGAGAGGTCTCTTGAAAGGTCAAAATCCCACCATGATGTCTTGTGCTGCAAGAACTCACAAAGAAACCAAAAGACTAAGAAAAATGGACAGTAGAAAAGTGAGTAAATACATGGCAGAAGAAGCCAGAGCACAGAGAAGGTAATTGTGGTACAGAATAATTTATTGCTCAGCCCCAGAAAATGCATGTTGCTTTGATCACTGCTGAGAGCACATGTATACAAGAAAGGGACAGCACAAGAGCACAGGGGGGAAGTAGTCAAGGCAGTTACAGAAAAGAGAAAGAAAGAGAAAGAAAAAAAAAAAAAAGGGAGCAAGAATTCTAAGAGGAAAAATGCTGACTGGAAGGAACTTAAAATAAAACCTGCATAGATTGTTTTATGTCAGAGAAACAGGACTTTGTACAACCATTGCAGATTAAAAGAATTATACTACAGTTAGACTTGGCTCCACCCTAGCTCCTTTTCCTACATGAAACAACCCACACATACCTGAGTCCCAGCTAGGTGGAGTTCCTTATGTTGCTTACATTCATACAGTTCCTTTGGATTGGATGTCCTCAGATCATTTTTCTGCTTACAACACCATAAAGTACGAAGCAGCCCATGTCCCACAAGCACAGGGCAGCACAGCCAGGTAAGGCAGCTCACAGTAAAGCAGGAAGGGTCATGAGGCGCGTGTGGACAAACATACCTGTGACTCTGAAGTGATGTGAGGCTGTCAACCACTCTAGATACTAACGGTAGCACTGCCTTGCCAAACATTGATCAACTGGTGTGAGTCCAGTGGAAGGCCAGAAAAACGGTCTGGGGACCGGAGCGCTTGCCCCGTGAGGAGATGCTGAGGGAACTGCTCAGCTGGGGAAGAGAAGGCTCCAGGGGATATAATATCAGCCTCCTCATACCTGCAAGGTGGTTACTGGAAGAGGACAGAGTTAGCTGTTCACAGTGAGGCATGACAAGCAGACAAGAGACAATGGGTATAAATTGAAGCAATAGATATTCAGACTGGATATAGCGAAAAATGCTTTCACTGTGAGGACAGTTGGGTATTGCAACACGTTTCCCTAAGAGGTTGTGGAGTCTTTATCCTTGGAGGTTTTCAAAACTAGACCTTACAAAGTCCAGAGTAACCTTATTTGTTCTGATCTGATCTAATCTGATCTGATCTGATCTGATAGCTGACCTGCTTTGAGTAGGAGGCCAGGCTCGAGTGTGCCTTAATTATTCTATGATCCTAAAACTAGACATCTGCTCTCAAAGCTGTCACAGTGGAGCAGGGGTTGGTAAGTATGACAGAATTCCCCATAGCTGTTTGTAGGGGTTAGACAGGGACTCCCTCACAGACCACACGTAGAGTGTGATTTACCTCAAAAGGAAAGTGGAATTTTCTGTTTAGAGGAAAATTTTACTTAAGGTTGATATTACTGTAAGAGGAAGGTACTCAGCACCTTAACAGGCGTGACAAGCATGTCAGACCTAGATGGCATTGTGGGGCAATGCACGGATCTGGAGGGAGGATCTATGAAAGACGTAAGAAGCATATGCTGACTTCATAGGTAGGAAAAGATTCATTCTGGCAACAACGCGTTAAATAATGACAGTGGAAGTCTAATATGAGAGAGTATACATCTATCAGTTTGTCCCCCCTTTTGTGTTGTTGGGCAGGTCCACCGCCAAGACAGGTTTCTCAGGGGAACTTTTACTGGTTTGTAAAGCTAAATCTGAGTGGCTTTCACCCTTCTTTGACAATGATTGATGAAAACTTTGTGCGAAGACTTGCATGAAAGAATAAAATAATCCAGCAAGACAAGGCAAATGTGCAAGAATGTTGTTGGTTTCAAGTGAAATTATCAGATGCCTCAAAAATCTCAAGGAGGATATGTCATCTTTTGCTAGAGCCAAAATCTTGCAATGACTGCAGACTGAACAGACTGGTGAGACCATTGGCTTGACCAAGACAAAATGAGGGAGAATGAGACTTTGTGAGAGAGCATGACCTGCTCTAACATGAGTGCCCAGACCAGCCAGGTGTCCGGTGAAGGTGACTTATCTCTGCAGACAAGCTATTTTTATCACGAGGTATTCAATAAACATCTGTAGAGAATATAATATGTAAGCACAGTCCATACTGTGTGAAATCAGTGGTCTATCTACAGCTAGTATTCTGTCTCAAATTGTGGATGATGAGGGGATAATGTAAGAACAGTGCAATCATGTAGTTATCCTCCCTCAAGTTCTCTTAGGGCATATTGTAGCCCAGGGATTCCCTGAGCCAGAGGTGATCTATTTGCATGCAGTAGTCCTTGAGGAACTTTTCTTCCATTATTTTTTCCAGTAGCTTTTTGAGTTGATGTAAAATTTACCATCTACAACATCCAGTGCCAGGAGTGCCAAGAAATTTCACAGTTTAATCGCATCTCAGGTGAAAGACCACTTCCTTTTACTAATTTTTGAATCAGCAACTGCTAGATTCAGTTCCTAGTTTTAGTGCTGGAAAAGACAGTAGAAAAAACATCCCTATTCACCTTATCACCGATGATTTTATAAACATCTACCATATTCCCCCACAGTAGTTTTTTGTTTTGTTTTGTTTTGTTTTTTTTAGGCTAGGACATCCTTGTTGTTTCTCACAGAGGAGCTGTTCTGTCCTTGTTGCCCTTCTCAGCACCCTTCCACTTATGCTACAGCCTTTGTGAGCTCTGTGGTGGGGTGTTCAAAACGTACACAATGTTAAAGATGTGGGTGCACTGAGCTTAGTAGGTGTAGATCTCATTTGCCAGGGGTAACGGTCAGTTCAGATTGCTTTTTCTCATCACTTTGCTAGATGAAATTTCAGCTGTTATTTTAAAGCCAGTCACTCACACTTCTCTTAATCTCTGCAGTCCTTCACAGCCAACCCTCATCTTTTCTAACTTGAATAATTTTATGTCTCCAATAGATTTGTTATTTTAGTATTCATCCCTCATGAATAAGTCAAACAGTCCAAGCCCCAGCTCTGGTGTCTTATCACTCCACTGAGAAAACCAACCACCTACCCTCATTCTCTATCTTATTTTTTAGGCACTTTCTGTCCAGGTAGGAACATTTTCTTTAAGCACCATTGATGAGAACCCTTTTGAAAGCCTTTTGGAAATCCACATGGGACACTGTTCACATGCCTGTTGACTCATTCAAATAAGGACACAGCATCCCTTTATAAAAGCCATGATGATTCTTCTCCGGTAATTAGATGTGACTGCATGCCAATTGATTTTTTCCTTTATTATAGCTTCTACTAATTTGCTCAGCACTGACATCAAGCTCCCTGGTCTGAAATCCCCAAGAACCTTTTCTCAAATTTTGTCTGCTAGTGAGCCTTTAAAAGCAGTTTTAAGCAAGTGTTTCTACACCAGTTAGTTGGGTCTTCCACCCTTCAGTTGTTTTTGGACCTCTGGGGTAGGAGCCGTGTGGTTTCAGACATTGCTTTGTGCATCTTCCTGCTCCATAACCATTCCTACCACTGTTTTGATCAGAGACAGTCCTTTGATGACTTTCCTTGTAAAGACACTTTATGCTGTGGCAATATCCCAGGCTTTCCTGCCATGACCACCAGTACAGGAATTCTGTTTAGTTTATTGCCCACCATCACCTTTTATTTTTTTCTGAGTGTTTTTTCTTTACATACTATCCCTTCAGCCTTCAAGACACCAAACAGCAGAGTTCTAACTGGCAGCAGATATTACTGAGTGGAAAATAGATTGGGGTTTTTTTGAGGGGATTTTTTTTTTTTTTCTGAGTGGGTGGAAATACAGATGCAAGAATCCACTAACAGTGGTGTTATTGAAGCTAAGCTGATAGTCTCAAATCTGATGTAACAGATACTGTAATAAAGATCTGAGAGACCCGTAGTGAGATGTGTACATGCACAGTCTTTGGAGAGACGAAGCTGTGGGAATGGACCGTATCTCTGCAGAGCAATTAAGGTACCATTTTGACTGTCCCTCACTGAAGAGGAAAGCTATGGGTAACGCAGGCTGTTAGCAGGGACACAGAAGAGCTGAAACAGGTTCTATTATCTTTCTTGGTTAATGTCTGAGAGCCACAGGCCATGTTCTTTGCGGTTGCCTCTAAAATAACGTCAAGTACTCATTGCACTACACAAAAGCTGCTGAGAGGTTTCAAGTCATCAGCTGTGTAAGGATGCACTGGTACCACAGCTGAACTGTCGTCCTCCTCACAATGAGATGCTGTCTTGAAAAACTGAAGGAAGGTGGCCCAGGAGGTAGAGGAAGCATCTTTTTACCTCTAAATGAAGGTCAGTATGAGCCCCTGTAGGCCATCTGCCTTCTCCCCAGCAGGGACAGAAAAGAGCAATTTGAACGATAGATGCTACCTAGGCAGATACTTCTTTCTGTTTTCGGGTGGAAAATTAATTCGTTGCTAGTATTCTTGCTCTGGGAGCGGGGACAGGGGGAATGACATGGACATGACATTATGTACGTGTGCGTGTGTACACACACGCAGAGACACACTATGAGCAACTGCTGCAGGGGAGGAGAGGCTGCAGAAACTAAAGGAAGGGAAAACGCCAGCGAGGGAGGAAGAGGTGGCACTATAGGCGGGAGGTGGGGGCAATGTCAACTGCTGTTGCCGTGTGAGGGGAGAGGAGAACGTGATGCTGGAGGATGGGCAGACGTCCCCCCAAAAAAACAGCTGAATGCACTGTCCTCCCCTCCCAGACAGCCCCTCCTGCGACCACATGCCTCCCTGAAGTGCTCGGGAGCGGCTCAGGGCCCTGGCTGGTGTGGGGTGCTGGCCTGAGATGAGCCAGAGCCAGCAAAACGGCTGCTAGGCAGGGCGGCCCCACAGGACGTGCAAAAACCCATGGGGATTTTGAGTTTTTTCTTTTGGAGGAGATGGGGAGCCCTAGCTGTACTTGCATACAGGGGCTGGAACAGGCAGGCATGCCCTGAGGTGAGATGTGTGCCTGACATGGAGCTGCGTCATCCTGCGCATCTTCTCTCTTGACACTAGCACCACAAGTATGACAAAGAAGCACAGCGTGGTGGGATACAGGGTTATGCATGGGGCTGAGAAACGAGGTGGAAAAAGACAGTTAGAAGAATCTTGCTGAGCATGCCACAAGGTCAGTGTTTCCAAGAGTCACTTGTCATTTAAACCCTGGAGCGCTTTGAGGCTGCCCTGGGGATGCAGACAGAAAATGTGGCATCGGGGTGCAAAGCAGTGCAGCTGAAAACACAAATTGCACAAGCTCACTTAGTAAATCTGGAACCAAGAGGAAATAACAAAGAGCGCACCAAACCTCAAACCCACCTCCCGCCCAATTTTGCTTTAGCAATTTAAGTTATATTTTTTTTCATAAATGTGGATGCTTTTAACCTGCTTCAGGTGATATTTAAACCCTACTTTTCACCTTTTTTCTAACCAAGAATTTTGATTATTGTGATGATTAGAACTTTGAAGACGTTCAATACTTAGGATATCTTGTTTTTAATGGAAGATACATGACATCAAAACCGAGACCTCCATATTTAACTCATGAGATCTGATCACACTGCCACAGCTTAGTCCCTGGAGGTGTCACCCCCCCTTCATCTTCTGAGGGCCCCACAGAAGAGGGTTTCCATCGTGGGCACCTTGGCAAGTAAGCTCCGCAGGTCGCCTGTGCTTTTAGTATCACAGGATCCCAAAGGAAGCCTCCATTTGAGTAAATAGTGAGATTTGCCTTGCACCTCTAGGTTCCCCAGGCAACTGAAGAGGCACAGAGGGTTTCCCGGTGCTCCGTGGGCAGGTCTGGCAGCACACACGCAGCAGCTCCCGGGGACCAGTGCCCAGTGCGCCCAGACCATCCAGCTCTCCAGTTGTTTCCATCTCACTTACCTCTCCACGGGTGAAGAGCCAAGGGTGCACGAGGAGTTGCTGGCTAGCAATCGCTGTCACTGCGGAGGTCTTGATCCAGGCAACAAAACTGCAGGCAGCTTGAATCAAAACAGATCCAGACAGGGTTTTTGGCTACTAAATCATAGCCGTCCGCTACTGCGCCATGGCTGGTTCTACGTCTGTCATGCTGCAGTTCATCTCCTTTCCTTTCTCACTTCCTGATGCACTTCTGGCTGGCCACAAAGCATGAACTTTGCTATCCAAAGCTGATAAGCTTAAACACATCCTATGAAAGCAAATGTAATCATGAAAGAAGAAACACCCAGGTGTCCTTGCAACTGAGAAGGTCTGCCCTGGGTCATAGTGCCAAATACTGGCTTGTCTTTGGCATGTTAACTCAGCCACCCCCAGGACTGGCAAGGGAAAATTAAAACATCCCCCTCCCCAAAATATTGCCAAACAAGAGGTAGAAGTGAAATACGGGAAGTGAGAGCAAAGTTGATTTAATCACTAGTGAGAGCAAAGGCTCAGAGCCCCGTCAATCCCACGGGCTTGCACGCTTTGGGGCTGAGTTCCTGCCTGGGGAGCTGTGCACCCCTGGCATGTGGCAGGGACCCAGAAAGAACCAGGCTCCGAAGAGGTGTCAGTGTTTGTGGCAGGCAGAGGCATGCTTGCCGCAAACGTCAGTCCATGTTGTTCCAGGCTACAGGAGGCACATGCTAAGTACATGCAAGGGCTGATTTAGCAGGACATCTGCAACCTAGCACTGCCAAGTGTAGTTGGGAAGGGACCTGCCCTTCTGCAGAGCCCATCTGGCATTCAGTTTCTTCAAGCCCAACTTCTGCTTTGCCAGTCCCAGCACACCCAGAAGAAGACTCAGGTCGTGGGGGGGATGCTCCTAATCCTACCGTTGTCCATCCCCAGGAGCAGCTGCCCCAAGAAGAAAGTGCCATGCCTATGGGCTCCGTCTTTTCCTGCAGCCCTTGCCTGGCTTCTCTGCCTGCTGGCTGTTGCTGCTGGTGTTTGACTTTCTCACTCCCTGCCTGCCTTGTTCTGCTGTCACTAACTCCTCGTTCAGGAATGTATGTTCCTGCTGCTCATAAATCCTTGGAGGGTACAATAGCACCCAAACCACTGATCTCACCCTGCTCCTTTTTAGTGCCTCTGTTTTAACCAGACCCCCTTTCTCACTTCCTAGTTGCTGGGATCTTTGTTCTCACAGCTTTTTGTGTCTCTTCAGTTCATGTCAAGGCTCTGGTACTGATAAAGGCTTGCAGATATATCGGGTTGGGAGGGGCTGGGGGGGCTGTAATTCTCCATTTGCAAAAGGCATCTCTGACACCTTCTGTGGGAACTTTCCCCTCCCCTGTGGCCCTTCCCCTGCACACACATGTGCACGCACCTGGCTGAGCCTGGCAGTCCTGGCTTTACTGTGCGTGTTGGAAGAGGAGGACACGGTGGCACTGAGCCTAGCCCTCCAGCCCGTGCTGCCCCACAGCATCCCTCGCCCAGCCAGGCCCACTCACCTCACTGGGTCTTGGTGCATCAGCCCATGAATTCTGTCTCCCCCTGCCCAGGTGGGCTCACACCTCTGTCCCTCGCTGTCTCTTGGACACTCAGCTTGTTGGGATGAACAGTGCAACCCTCAGCATTTCCTCACCGCTGTCTGAGTCGACAGCAGGTAAGACCAGATTACTGGGGTGTGTGTTGGAGGCTACACCCTGATGCTGCAGATCCCAACATGCCTGCTGCCCCGGAGTGCTGACTCCAGAAAGCAGGAGCAAGGACCCAACAGAATGAGGGACGCAGGGAGCTGGGAAGGCAAGGAGAGACGTGGGAAGTGTTCTACAACAGAAGGGGCTGCTCAGGTTTGAAAGGATGACTGATAAACCCCAGTGCTCTTCAGACCTCTTTGTGCAGGGAAATGTGGAAGAGCACAGCAAAGGGGTGAAACCGCATGTGGGGCCACGGGGGAAAAAACTATAGCAGGGCCAGGACAGCTGTGTTTCACTTTCTGAATGATTCAGACAGGAAAAGCAGAAACCTCTGGGCTGTGTGAGGAGTTCAACCTTAGAGGGCAGTGGGGGCAGCCAGCACTTCCCAGGCCTGCTGGGGGAATGGCAGGCTTTTCTCCCAGGACATTTCAGCTCCCTGATTGCACAACTCACATTCTCCTGGGCTCCCAAGGGGTCTTAAGAAAGGGGTACCCACTGAGAAGAGGGGCAGCCACCCCACTACGCCTGCTTAGGAGAAGGGCAAGGATTGTCTTGCCATGGGGAAGAAAATAAGGGGGGGGTGAAGGGAGACCTGCTAGGGAAAGAGTTAAGAGAGCCAGGGAGCAGCTGGGCTGTGTCTGTTTGCTGTAGCTATGTGGGCTGCAGTGCAGAGAAGAAGAATCTACAGCCCGGAGGAGGCAGATGAGGGAGGGTCCTCAAGGACAGCAGCTGGGGATGAGGAAGGCAGCAGGACTTTCCCTCTCTGCTCCCATGAACTTTCACTGCAGGGAAACTCTCCGGCTCCCCAAAGGGGTTGCTGACAAAGCGATGACAAGCTGGTGGGTCTAGCAACAAGCTGCTTCGTGCTGTCAGGTTTTACTTGCGTGGAAGTCTCTGTCTGCTGCTGACTGGGTCTTGGACTGCTTCCTGCTGGTGAAGTGACTTGACTGTGGAGGAAGGCGACCAGATCGTCTGCTGACAGGGTGGCAGAGATGGGGGTCTGACACTGATGCTGTCCCCAGCCATGTGAGCTCCTTCTGATGGATGCCTGCCCCAGAGCCCTAGGTCAGAGCTCTCCCACAGCGCTGCTCGAGCTGGAGGGGGGAGCAGCACTGGTGTGGGCACCCTGGCAGGCCAACCCAGCAGGTTTCCGTGGGCTACCAGGTCTCTGATGCTGGCAGGCACACCAGGGCAGCCCACGGTCATTGCTTGGGGCAGGGGCTACCCGTGCTTGGCAGTGCTGGGCTGGAGCTGCTGCGAGAGCAACTGCTGGGCAGAGGCTGGAGGTCGCAGGAGGGGATTCAGGCGGCTGCTGCACCGTGGCGGAAGGTGGAGTTCTGCTGGGGACGGGATGGAGATGGTGTGGTTGTACGTGGTGCTGATGCCCGTGCAGCACGCCCTTGCTGTGACCTGGCTGTAAGTATGCTTTGCACTTCTACTCTCTGTGTTGGAATATCACCTGGGGAGGTGCTGTCTCCCAAGGAAACCGGCAGATCTGTGAGAAAAGAGTGGAAGGTGGAACCTGAGCAACCCAAAGGCAGCACGTTCGAAGGGGGATGTCTGGGAGCGTGAAGGGAGAGGGATGGTGAAGCTAAAGAGGCACACACCAGGATGGGGAGCAGGAATGTCCAATTCATCACAGACGAGAGGCAGCCTATCTCCTTCTCTGCCCTGTTTCTGCTCTAAAACAAGGCTATGGAGGGCTAGACCTCTGCAGACATGACCTTGGCTCTAGCCCACCTGCGATGGAATCTCTCCCTTGACCCACAGGTACCTGGCCAAGCAGCCTTCTCTGCAGGCCGTCCTCTGGGACCCCCGTGGCTGTGAGGGTCTGACGGGGCTGGTGGAGGAGCAGGTCCACGTTTGCCGGCGGCAGGTGGAAGCCATGGATGCAGTGAAGCAAGGCGCGGAGTTGGCTGTTGAGGAGTGCCAGCACCAGTTTCACTCTCGCCGGTGGAACTGCTCCACGCTGCAGGGGCTGCAGGTCTTTGGCAAGGCTGCCATCCAAGGTCAGTGAGGGGGGTGACAGTGCAGGCGGAGTTGACGTGGGGTCGACACAGGGTCCCCTTGACACAGCTTTTCCTGACTAGCGTGCCAGTGTCACACTGGCCCCGGCCACAGAGTGGTCAGTGCCTTCCTCCACCTGCTAACAAAGCGGTCAGCACAGAGCAAACTGAACCAAATGCACTTGCTGTTACAAATATGAATATTCCGGCTAAACTTCTTCCTCATTTGTCCAGGTTTGGCTTTTTGGTCCCATTCGGACCATTCTGTGTGCCATCTCTGCAGACCGGTAGGTCCCTGATCCTGCCACCAGCCCAGCCCTTTGGAGTAGCAGCTCAAATCAAACTTTTTCCTCTGAAGCTGCCGTCCCTTTTTGTTGCGGGCCAGGGAAAAATGATCTGCCTGCACCCCCAAAACAACATGGAACAGACTTTGTGTGTGTTTGGACAGGAGGAGCCATACAGGGTCTCTCTGGCTTCTAGAGACAAGGCAGCATGGTCCTCCCTGAAAAACCCCTCTGTGTGGGGGCTGCCCTGCTGTCACCCACCACAGCTCTGCTTTTGCTTTCCTTGCGGGCTGCTGACTTCTCTCCTTCAATGGGATGCCCAGCCCAGGAACTGAGGGTGCCAAAGGTGAGGGCACTGAGCCAGAAGGACCCCAAAGAGCCATCTCTCTTGCTGGCTCCAGGCCTTGGGAGCTCCAGCATCCTGACAGCAGTTTTTCCTGAGCAGTCTCCATCTGAATACATCCTTCCTGCATGCAGTCACGGCCTCTTTCCCTGCTGCCCTGTGCTGTCAGTGCCTTCCCTCTCTGCAGACTCATGCCATTTCTTGCCCTGCCGCAGGCACGCGGGAGTCTGCTTTCATCCACGCCATCTCCGCTGCCGGCATTGCCTTTGCTGTGACTCGTGCCTGCAGCCGTGGGGAGCTGGAGAAGTGTGGCTGCGACCGCAAGATCCGAGGTGTCAGCCCTGAAGGTGAAGGAGGAGGCCAGTGGCAGGGAGGGGATGGCAGAGGAGATCCATGGGGAAGATTCTCACCAGGGGAGGGGACGCCTCCCTCCTCCACGGCTCTCGGCCCTTTGGGAGCTCCTCCCAGAGCTTCTCCTTCTTCCTCTCATGGCCACTTTCCCTCTGCAGGTTTCCAATGGTCAGGCTGTTCCGATAACCTGTCTTACGGGATTGCCTTTTCTCAAGCCTTCGTAGACAGCCCTGAGAGGAGCCGCAGCATCTCCTCAAGCCGAGCGCTCATGAACCTGCACAACAATGAGGCTGGGAGGAAGGTAAGGGCAGGAACAAGGGCTGGGTGGGAAGCGTGGCTTCAGGGGCTTCTCTCTGGCTAGGCAGACCTTGGTCCATCTCCCCTTCCTCAAGGAGCAGTTCAGGGCAGCCACAGGCTCCCGGAGTGGGTTTGCATCCTGCTGCCTTTCCTCAGCCCAGCGCTGTGCCGCGCAAACCAAGCTGGCTCCTCGCCTGCGCAGAGGTGGAACCCGGCCTTCCCTACCCACCTCTGTGCAGTCTCCTTTTTCTCACAGAGCCCAGCTGTGATTTACCCACCTTGGCCTGTTTTGCATAGGAAATTAGTTTCATCATTCTGCTCCGAAGCGCTTCCCTGCCTCTCCAGTCCTTCCTGAGCAAAGACACCATCCTCTGCAGGGGTTGTTGTCAGATCTGATCCCTAGAGCTATGGTTCTGGGTGGATCTGTTCCCCTCCCCACAGCCCTGTGGGCTTATGCCTGTTACCCACAGAGTGGATCCCCTTCTGTTTCATATTGGCTTGACTTAAAATTACTTTTTTGCATCCTTTCCCCTTCCCCTTTCCCTTTCCCTTTCCCCTTCCCTTTGCCCTTGCCCTTTCCCTTTGCTTTTCCCTTTCCCTTGTCCTTGCCCTTCCCTCTCCCTTCCCCTTGCCCCTCCTTCTTCCCTCCCCTCCCTCCCCTTTCCCTCCTCTCCCTTTTAGTTTTCTTTCCCCTTCCATTCCCTTGGACTGATTCTGCCCTCCAGCCCTGTGGGAGGTGTGTGGGGGAACAGTGGTTGCTGGGGGGCCCGCAGGCACAGGTGGTGTACGGCGGGGTGTCCTGGGGCTGGCTGCCAACTGCCTCCCACTCCCCAGGCTCTCCTGGCTCACATGAAGGTGGAGTGCAAGTGCCACGGTGTGTCAGGATCCTGTGAGGTGCGCACATGCTGGAAGGTCATGCCGCCCTTCCGCAAGGTGGGCAACATCCTCAAGGAAAAGTTTGAGGGGGCAACAGAGGTTCACCCCAAGCAGGTTGGTTCCCGCAAGCTCCTGGTGCCCAAGAGCTCTCTCTTCAAGCCCTACACAGCTCATGACCTGGTCTATCTGTTGGCCAGCCCAGACTTCTGCGACCGGGATCCCCGACGCGGGGTCTTTGGCACCTCCGGCCGCCAGTGCAACCAGACGTCCCCAGCCATGGATGGCTGTGAGCTCCTGTGCTGCGGCAGGGGCTTCCACACGGCCCAGGCAGAGGTGGTGGAGAGGTGCAGCTGCAAGTTTCACTGGTGCTGCTCCGTCAAGTGCAAGCAGTGCCGGCACCTCGTGGAGGTGCACAGCTGCCGCTGACGGGCAGCACGCTGGGGTGGCGGGGGGGGCTGCCGGGGGGGCTGCAAGGCCACAGGGAGAGGACAGCCCGGGGAGGGGCACAGGGAGGCAGGGGAAGGTGCAGGGGAGGCACACAGCCTGAGAGGGAATGGGGGGCCATGTGGGGTTTTGTTGCCCCGTGGACAGCAGCCCCTGGCTCCACGGGTGCCATCAGCTCCTGTGTGCTCCCCGCACAGCACCCTTTCACCAGCCTCACTGAGCTTTGTGCGGTTTGAATTATTTTTTCTCGACAGAGGCTTGGAGGACATAGGCCAAATAAACCCTTAAACTCTAGAAATAAACCAGCTGCAACGGAAAGCAAAGTGCCTATGTCAGCTCCTTCCTCACATGCTGCATTTGGGATCTGGAGGGTACCTGTCTCTGCTCCCTCGTGTGGGCTGGGGGGGTTCAAGGCCACGCTGGAGTCCTCGTGCGCAGTGGGCACATGGGCTGCAGTGAATGAGAAACACCAGGGAGCAAAGCAAGGGGGAGTGGGGACCCACCTCACACATGAGAGGGGGTCATCGAGAGGTGTAATAGAGCGGCGGCACTAATGAGAAGGGAGCAAATTAGGTTTGCAGGGCAAATGGGCTCTTTATACCATAAGACTCATCCCTGGGAGAACTACTGACTGACACAAGCCTCCGGCAGGAGGGAGGCAAGAGAGAGCTGGGGGTTTCAGACACGCACGCTTGGGCCAGTGGCTCTAAATCCAGGTTCCCAGGACTGATGCCTTCTCTGATGCTCAGCCGAAACTTTGGCTGGAGAAAATGTTTCCAGGAGGAGTTCCAGCAGGTGCCACAGTGAAGTGCTGCTGAGTGAGGTTCCCCTCATGGTGTGCTGCTATCGCTGGTGCAGAACAGGTTCTCGGAGGATGAGAGCTGGCCATGATGGTTCTGGGTGGCCAACAAGGGATCTAGGAAGAGCTGTCCAAGTCTATCTAGGCTCTTTGCCCCACAACAGCCCCAGAGAGCCTGCTCTGGAGCCTAGCACTTCCCATTCATCCTCCTGCTACTCTGCGTCATCCCTTGGTGAGGCCGAGGAACCTCTGGTGCCACAGCTGCACGTTCTCCTCTCCCTCCTTCTCGCTCAGCACCCGATATGTCTCATTTCTGTGGCAGCTGCGGCGAGACACCTGCAAGGAGAGCCTGAGTTCGTAGGACTGATACCACTGCCCATCCTTCCCATAAGGAAGGAGGACCCCCCTGGCGAACGGCATCTGGAGGCTGGGATGCTGGGGGCACCAGGGGGAAGAGGGGAGAACCAGATGGGAAGTGGGAGTGAGAGGATGATAACCAAACTGTGTGTTTCCTAAGACACGGGCTAGTCCTCCGTCCTGCTCTGGTGTTCTTCAATTTTGATATCATCTAAGAAGTACCCAGTAGCTGGGTTAAGACCATCCCAGCTATACTGGGGATAGCCTGATGGGGCTATACTGGGATAGCCTGATGGGTGGGAGGCTCCCCATGGCTCCTCTGTCTCCACATGAATGGCTCTCTCCACTGCCATCTCTTACAGAGTCTGTGCAAATCCCACCACCTCAATTACAGGCCAGCTGTGCTTGGGTCACAGTTTGTCACTCCCACCACAAACACACCCAGTTCTCTCCTACTGGAGGGAAAAGCGGTGGGCCAGTGAGTCCTGCAGGGACTTGGGACTGGATGTGGAGGGATCATCCATGGAGGCTGTGTAAAAGGCAGTGCAGGCTGTTTCTCACCCTCTGGTTGTAGAGGCTCTGCTGGAGACACTGGTGGCTCTTGAACGCGCAGTAGCTGGGGTGCTGAACTCCTCCCGAGTCACAGATCTGGGGAGATGAGAATGAGGGCCGGAGAAAGAACGGGAGAAGGAGGGATGGGAACATCCACTGGGCACCCACCTGGCTTGGGGCATCTCTGTCTTGGAAGGCAGTGTATTCTGCCTTCAGCCAGAGGGCCACACGAGGGTCACGGCAGCCACGGATGGCCATCTGGCTGCACCAGTACTCCATCCTCAGCCCTCTGAAAACCTCCACGCCGTGGTACTCCGAGGTCTCAAGGGGGGTGGTCTGCAAAAGGGTGGTATAAAGAGAACTGTGCTTCTTCCTCCCCTTCCCCACCATCCAGTCCAGGCTCCTCCTCAGAGGCCGGCAGGACATGCAGCCTGCTCGGTACCTTGTTGCCTGCAGCCTGGTGCTGGGCTGAGATCTGGGGGTTGATGTAGGTGGTGAAACTGCCCGACTCGCAGTGAACGCGGTTCAGGTTTTTGATGTTCTGACACTGCTCCCTCTTCAGCGAGCAGAAAGCGCAGACAGGGCACAGGTCCAGGTGACGTCGCCCGAGGCTGTCACACACCTAGGGTGGATGCAGTGGGGATGTCGGAATGGAAAAAGGAGACTGAGGAGCTCCTGTATCCCTACCTTGGAGCTTGCCTCCCTGGTCACCCAGGTGAGCTTCTCCCAGGAGGTGGCACCTGAAAGGCCAGTGCTGACGAGCTCTGGCTGTCAGAGCATTGTGGTCAGCAAGGCAGGGAGCCCTGAACACAGCGGGGATCAAAGGTGGACATAAGCATCTTTACCAAATCTCCGAACCCAAGGACTCTTTCTTCCATCTCCTTCCAGGCCTCAGTGACCACTGATGAGAGACAGTTTCCCTCCAGCATCGCATAGCACAGGATCATCACTGCCTCATCATTCTTCAGGGCTAAAAGGCTGACAGAGAAAGGGAAGGAGGAAGCCAGGTCTCATCTCTTATCACAAGCCAAAGAGATAGACCTTTAGTTAAAAACCGAAAAGGGGGGAAAACAACCCCTCCCAAAGAAACCTTGGACTTTTGGCCAAACTGCACAGAGGGTTGTCTGCAAATCTGTACCTGCCTGTATAACACAGAGGCTATGGGGGTGTGTGTGCCTTCGGGAGCATGTGAGAGGGACTGGATGAGGGGCACAGCTTGAGGAACTTCCCCAGGGGCCCTGCAGCAGCTGCTGCCTAGTCTTGTCCACCTGAGCACACACCAGTGAGGTGTTTGTTAGAGGTCTGCTGAGTGTTGACCATGGGGCAGCCCCATTTTGATCTGCAGTATGTAATTTATTAAGCCTCCCTCCTGATTGAGCTAATGTATTTGACGGAAAGAGGAAAAAAAACCTAACAAATGAACTAACTGTTTATCCAAGCAGACATGGGAAGCTAAAGGTAGAAAATTTAAGGGCAGTGGGACAAGGACAATAGGAATATTTTACATCTCTTAGGAACACAAGAAACTCTACACATGGTAGAGAATTGTTATTAGACAGGGATGGTATAAATTACCAGCAGTGATGCAGAAGAGGTAAAAATGCTGGCTAAATATTTGTCTTCTGTATCTGGAAACAAAATCAATGACAAATAAGAAAACTTTGATCTGGCAGAAAATACAAAAAGGTAAGAATAGCAATTGCTTATGTTAAAAGGTTCTTAAAGTCTAGCCTGTATGAAGAAGTTTTCCTAAGAATAGCTGAAACTTCTTGGAGACCTTCAGATTAGCCTTAAAAAAAAAAAAAATGGTGGAGAACCTGGAGGAAGGTCATAAAGATGAGATTTCCTAAACCTAGAAAATTTCCACCTGGAGCAAGAAACTGAAGAACCTTTACTTAGCTGAACAAAGGCACTAGCGGGTGGCCACTTGGTCAGTCTGGACTTTTACTAAGATGGGGATCAGCTTGAAGGCTCTCAGCAGCAGCAGATCAATTTTGGTGATTAGAATTTGGGGTGAGATCCTTTCAAACCAGGAATTAGCTGCATGTTCCTGGCACGAAGGGTATTTAGCACAGGAGCAGCTGATGGGGTGGTTTCTCCACAGCTTGGAGACTTCAGAAAGATATCCCAACCTTCTCTTAGGAGAAGGATCTGTAGCTCAGCCACACGATCCTGGTTTTCCTTCAGGGCTTACTAGGCATGGCTCCATGGCTTGTGCCAAGCAGGAAGGCTGGAGTGAGTGATGAGCGCAGTTGCCAGGCCTGAAGGCTAAAAGAGATCGACCTCCCCACCATTAAGCTCTTGTGATTACATGGTGTGTGAAGAAATCAAGCTGTAAGGAATGACTGGTGTTCAAAGATCCACGGGCATGTGAGAAGCATGGACCGTATGCACAGGAACACGTGGATGCTTGGCATTTGCAGTGGATTCGGGGTGTGTGCTCACATAGGAGGATGTGGGTGAGCATTAGGACTACTAACAGGAAGAAGTTTTGTGCACCTCCTTAATAGATCCCTGGGCCCTGCCACACGCTGTGGATGAAGGAGCTCACAGCATTTGCTCTGCCCTTGCAGCGGATCAGAAACAAGTGATCCTGTACCTAAACAGTTCATGCCATCCAGCAGCAAATGAGTGTGTCAGGATCTCTGAAGGCATCTCTCTCACTTAGATGCTACAAGAGAACCTGGAAAATCTCAGTCACAGAAAATATAATGAGTGCTAGATTTTTTTTTTTTAAAAGACATTACAGTTGAACTTGTTCTATCACAGTGCAGCAGATGCTGTTCTAGCCCGCATCGAGGCAAGCAGAGGTGTTCCTTCAACGCACTCCCCTGTACTCCCCTGTGGACAGGCTGCAAATGGTATTCTGCAGATACAGACACATAAACAAATTATTGTGGTACCAACCCACAGCACATCAATCACATCCGCTGAAAAACCAAGGACAGCTGAAAACCTGGAAATCTACGTAATTCAAGGTTGTGTATCTCTTACTGTGATGCACCACAATGTGACCAACTTGGTCAGAGGTTTGTGGAGGGAAGGTCCGAGTTCAGAAAGCAGAAAAGACTGCAAACTGAGGCCAGCAGCGACAGATACCAACTCTTTCAGACAAAGCTGAAAGAATTAAAATTTGCCAGTAAAAAAAGAGAAACAAAGCCCACCTATCCTGCAGAAATCACTTCCAGAACCTGTAAGTTCCTTTACATCCACTCTTCCATCCCATGGCTCCACATGATCCTTTTTGGCTTTTTGTTTCCTCTGTAAACATTCAGACCATTTAGGATACCAAGAAGAACAGGAATTTTTAAATTTGGAGCCAAAAGTCTGTGCTTATCCCACTTTAAAATCTTGTCTAAGGTTGTTCAGTTCAACCGCCTCAGCATTTTTCTGTGACTGGGAGCTGGACATGGCTGAGAGAAGAACCAGTGACAGCCCCCAAGGCACACCTGGCATTTCACCTCCATAAAGGATTGCTCTTCGTGTGGGAATTACCTAACACTGACAATTTCTCTCTTAAGCAGTTGTAGCCCAGGAGAACAAGTGTTCAGTCCACTTTGCTGATAAATCCAGGACAGCTGGAGGGAGTCCCTGCTACCACTCACATGCTTGACTGCTTAGGCACAGTTGGATATTTGGTAAACTGGCTGGGTTATCTTGATGAGACTCACAAATGTCAATTAATGACCTCGATATTATTCTCCAAACTTATCTGAAAGAATTTATCCACAAACATTTCATTATTGGCTATTGTTCTACTACTTGCTTGTTATTCCAGTGGCATGTTGTGATTTGATTACTTCATCACACCAGGATGATCAAGCCAGTAAAGTGAGAGGCACATTAAGAGTCATTAAAAATTAAATGAATAGCTCTGGTGTTTTCACCACCGAGGCACAAAAAAGAAGAAAACTGTCCAGTTTGTTGCATTTTTTTTAAAAAATAGCAACTAAATAACCTGAGGCTTAGAAAACAACAGCTCATAAGTGGGTTTAACAGCCTTTGCTTTCTCCAACACGTGTACTGGTCCAACAAGTACAGCCCAAACAAGATGCAAATAGAGGATTACAGGGAAAAGGGGCAGTACAAGGGAGCTCAGCTCCAGTCTTTTCTAAAAAGAGTGCTTCCATAAGTAGATCATAAGTAGCGATAAAACATCTGCTGAGCGTTGATGACCTACTTGTTCAAAACAGGCGCAAAGTCAGATGTGGGTAGAAGCCTCTGCTGCACAGCAAACATTAGATTTATAGTCCCTATTCAATATGATCAGCTCATGCAGATCAGAAAGTCTCGCATCCCTGCACAACACCTACTGACACTTTGCTGTTGGCTGTTTTATGCAGATGCACATGAACCGTGTTCATAACATCCCCTCATCCACCCAGGAAACTGAGTCACACCATCAGCCTCAGCTTAACAAGAAATTCTGTTGCTCTCTCTCTGTCACATCCATTTCCTCCTCTATTTCTGTTCTCCATCTCTGCTGTGAGGTTTTCTGGCCTCACAGCTGCATATTTATGAGTTGGTCTACCAGCTCGGGGTCAGTGAGATATATCTACACCATCCCCCTGTGACAGCTAGTTCCTGAAAGCAGCTGATAAGTGTCAGGGGAGGGCGTCCCACCACACATCACCAGACCCAGGGACAGGTCCTGGGCTCCTCCCTCACCTGCAAGCCACCATGCTGTGGCACTGGGGGCCCCTGGGGACTGTCCCTGGTTCCTTTCCCAGGGATGCCCAGCACCCTGGCATCGCAATTTGGTGCATCCAGCCACTTCTCCCACTGCTGCTGCTTTACGACAGTGCTGGTGCTTCGTGTCCCATCACAGATGCATTACAGGCAAACGATACGGACTCAGCGGAGTAGAACAGTACTGGTGCTGGTCCCTACACTCACTGACATGCTGCTGAGCTGTTCGTGGATGTGCAGAAGTTTCACCATGCATCAGGGAAAGCGACAGGTCTGTCTGAAGTGATTTCCTAACGCAAATCCATCCCCAGCTTAATACTTCTGCATGTTAATGTCCTAACTGTTGCCCTGGAAAAAGCCTAACAGGTACTGGGAGGCAATGGTTCAAAGGGAATGTGAACAAATATAATTAAGAAGAATCTGTGGGTCAAGATGAGTAATTTCTCAAAGGCAAAAAGAGAAAACTTCAGATAAAAGCCTATCCTGCTTTAGCATCTCAAGACATGGAGTGTCATGCATAGAGCCTACTCCAATGGTATCTCTGAAGAGTGCTGGTTAACAGCATCCACTTCTCCCTCAACGCAATGACAAGGATTTGGGCCATTAACTTCCAGCTGCTAAACCTCCCCGATATTGGCTGGCTATGTGAGGTGGAGTGAATACCTGAGGCAAGCAGAAAAGATAAGGTGCAAACAGCAGCTTTCCAGCACTTTGTAACTTCTGACTTAGAGGCGTTGCTGCAGGAAATTAAAACCACTAAGGAAAAAGCCTTCTTAACAGTTTCAGAAAGAAAAAGTGATCTTGCCAAGAAGGCAGGCAGACTAGTTAGGGACCTGACAGATCAAACCCAGCAGGTAACCCGACGTAGGAGCTATTGGGACAATGGGAACGTAACACCTGCCCAAAGGCTCGGGGAGCACAGACAGTGGGAAAAACTATTTTGTAAATACATCTCTCCTGCTGAGCCGCACGATATTGCAGCCTTTTACCTTTGCCCCCTTGGAACACTGAGAGACCCCTGCTTTTAAAGTCCCAAAAGCCTGGGAGCATGTCAACTTCTTCTAGCTTGGTGGTGAGAGGACAGCCTGCCTTGTCATGACTCCCCGTTCACAATTAGCCGCACGCAGGAGCAATGTGGAGATGCTAATCTGGGCCCTGGCCTCACTGAATGTCCAAAAGATACCTCTACATAATCCCCAAGGGACAGCTAGTTCCTGAAAGCAGCTGAGAAACGTCAGGGTAATGGGTCCCATCCTGCGCCACCAGACCCGGGATAAAAAAGTAACGGTGAACGGGTGATGATAATCCAGAAAGAGTGTTCTTTCTGGGGACGGTATTTTTAATGAAGTCTCTGGTTTTAAAATTAAAGCCAGCAGGGATGAGGGATGTAAACACCACAAAGATTGTTTGGAGGGGTAAAGCAGGAAGAGGAGGGTGCAGCTGCTGGGAGGGCTCAGCTCAGCCTTGCTGGAGAAGCTGGATTCATGTGAACCACAAGCATCCGCGGGTGAATACCGACAGGATGAGGTCTGTATCTGGGACAGCCGTGACACTGAAAGGGGCGTAGGGGTCATAGTGAGCAAACAATGCAGCAGTGGGAAGCCCTGGGAAAAAGGGAAAACGCAATTTTTGTGTGCAAACAGAAGAGCAGGGAAGGGAAAGGAGGTTGACCTCCTGCATACCCAACTGCTGAAATCCATTGCTGAATGCTGCATGTAGGGCTGGAGCATGGATGTTTTAAAGGGACACTGAAAATGGCTGCAGAAAATGAGAGCTGAACAGGATTTATAAGGTAAGAGCCACAGAGCTCTATTTAGCTTATTGCAAGACAGAATCATGGTATGTAGGTAACGTTGAGGAAGGGAAATACTGGGAAATAAATAGGTATCTAATCATGGGGCACAAAGCAGAATAAGGACTAAAAATTGAAAATAAGTGCAATAAGAGACATTTCTTCCCCCACAATGATTCACTGCTGGCAGAAAGTCCACAAAAGAGTGCTACAAATTCTTTACCTTGTTATATTACTACCTTTACCCTGTCACAGCTAGCTTCATGAGGTACTATGAAAGCTGGTAGAGTTATCAGAGCAGCTGCCACAAGCAGGGCTGAGCGAGAAGGGATGGACGTCCCGCTGGACATAAGACCCTAGGGAAGACACACGGGCCAGGGTTTGGTGCCTGTCACAACCGAGCGCACCTTGTGTTAAAGCGGATGCCGAATGGCACCTGTGCACACCCAGTCCCACCCAGCACTGCTCCTCTTGCTGAAATGGAAATGCCTCAAAGCATCTGGCCCCTTTTTTAGGTCATGCTTTGAAGTCTCTTTGAGAGGAGGTGGGCTGTGGTGAGCAGCAAAGCTGACAGGTGCAGCCTATCTCACCTTTTTATCCTCACTTGGGTTTAAGCTTTGCTTAGCATGATTGATGGGGCTCAGCTGCCAGGTTACAGACACACAGTCAGCATTAGTGTCTTTGAGAAACTCTGCCGCAGAATAGCGAGTGTCATCTGCAATCACAGCAGTCCCTCACTAATCCCAATATAACTAAATCAGAGCAAGGCTCAATTTTGGAGTCAAGGAAAATGAACATAGCCTCAACGAACCAGAATTTTGCCTTAGAGTACACACACTGGGAAAAATTTGCGAGGCAGTAAAAGCCTCCTACAATATTAGGAAGGAGGATGACATAAGTTACAGCCTTGCAAGAGAACGGTTACAGCTTTAACAACATGATGCAATTAATTTCTAGATGCAGAAGTGGGATCTCTGGCTCAACTGTAGTAGTATGTAGTGTTTTTAATAGAAACCACAGATGTGCAATCATGCACAAAACCTGTGCACTTACAGGAACATCACTAGCTAGCAACAGAGCGAAACTAAAATGTCTTCTCCGTGAAAACCACATCCAGACAGCATTTTTTTGGCTCTTGGAAAGCAAAATAATCTTTGCATCTCAGTCAAAGCAAGTGGTCCTCAGCCACAAAGTACCAGAGGATCAAGAAGTAAATTTGAATGTAAACATATAATCCTTTTGCAGGTCTTTTCTGTCTGGGTTCACCAGCCCCAGCTGCCTGAGGACAGAGGTGAATGGATCCTGGCAGATCAGCTGAGAGGAGCTCGAGATGCTGAACAAGCTCCTAAAGCATCCCTAGGCCAGAGGAACTAAGAAGGGCACATAAAAGGATTGCAGCAAGCTGGACTGTCGCAGGGCCCTGTGCTGAACTGGCATGCAGCTGCTTTCAAAGCCAGAACAGGGAACAAGAAGCCCCTTAGAAAGAGCAACGCACAGATCCAGAACACAGAGAGGTGCACATGCTCAATGAGAAGTAGTGTCCTGTGCAGCCAGGATAAAGGCTCTGCGCTCCCAGCTCCGTTTCCTGGCCTGGGACTGCTTTTGCTCTACCTGGGTGAGGATGGAGCACTCCTCAGAGTGCTCCACAGGTCAGATTGTTTTAAGAAACAACTGCTTCGTGTTGCACAGAGAGAGGTGAGGAGCACAGCGAGACACATGTTCACTCCAGCGTCCCAAGGACCCGTGTTTGCGAGGAAGCTCTTTCTGCAAGTCATCCCGACTCCTAGGAGACATGAGCTGGAAGGAGGATGAGTGCAGAGGTGGCTGCACACTGCAGATGGCCACAGCTGTGGGGACACACGTGCATGGTATAAAGCCCTGCCTGCAGCTAAGGTCCAGCCTAAATTCACTTTGCTCAGGACACAAGGACAGTAACGTTGTCGGGCGCTGGCAGTGCTGGGTCATGCTCTTGCTGATCACTCTGTGCTGGAGTGGGGGGGTGTCTGAAGAGCTTCCCGGGTACGTTCCTACTCTGTATGGGACTGCTTAGCTCCAGAAAGCCTGCCCGTGCTTACCAGCTGCTCAGGGCAGGGGCGTGAGTGCCCTGGGGCTAGCAGCCAGCATGCGTGGGGACAGCCCTGCATAGGTGGCATGCGGTACCCCACCGGGCGGGGAGACGGGTCTCCTCCTCACCTGCCACGGTGGGCTGTTTTCTGCACCCCCTCCTCCGTGCTGCCCGATGTGCTCCCTGGCTCTGACTTGATGCTGGAGTCCAGAGAAGAGCCCTCCGTGTCCAGGGACGTCTCCAAAGAGAGGGCTAAGTGGATCAGCTGCCAGACGCTGTTCTGCAGGCGCTGCTTCCAGGGTTCCTCTGTCTGGGCAGGGGATCTCAGCCTTGGGGGCAAGAAGGCAGGGGCAGTAGCTGGGACTGGCAGGATGGGTGGGAGCCCAGGCAGCACCCTGTCCTGTGGGGGTGTCGGCAACCCTGGCACGGCCAGGGGGAACTTCCTCGGCAGCGGTTTCTGATTTGACAGTGCATAGGAGTACTTCAGGAGAGCGTCCACACTGGTGCGCAGCAGGGTGTCAGCAGGTGAGGGTGAAGCCTGACCCGGAGCTGGGGAGAGAGTGGGACAGGGGTGCTGAGGGCACCTTTCTGAGGCCAGCCAGAAAGCTGCTGAGGGGGGAAGAGTAGCTACAGGAGATCAGCAGGAGAGCAGGGGTGCCCAGCGCAGCTCGGTGCAGCCGTACCTTCTTCTGCAGGGAAGCTTTTGCCCCTCGCCCAGGAGCCCACAGTGTGGGGTTGCTCTGTCGGGAGAAGGTTTTTCGGAGGAGACAAACTCGGACATGGGATTCGCTGAGCAGAGGAGAGAGGGAGAAACCTGTGTCCTGCTGAGTTATCTTCCCTTCTTCCTCACACCCCTTTTATCTCCCAGGAGACACTCTCGCCCACCCCATCACAAATCCCACTCCCCACCTTGGTGTAGAACTGGCGTTTGAAGCAGCGGTACTGGGCAAACTGGCAGAAGGTCTGAAACCACAGCGCCTCTGGGAATTCTGAGCAGACTGGCCCTGGAGAGGGGTGAGAGAGAAAGATGCAGAATGGGGGCAGGCTGCAGATTTTGGCATCTGCCCCCTTGACCTGGGTGCAACAAGAGATGGGGACCTCTTGGATGGCTGTTTCCAGAGTGCCTTGTGCTTGAAGGGAAATTCAGAGCTGTCTGTGCCCAGGTGGAGATCACAGCCTTGTGCTGTTACAGCTCCTGATCCCAAGTGCCAAATGCACTTTTCACCCAAACCACCCAGCATTTCAGTTTATCCTTCTGCCCTTTTTCACACAGTTTTCTTCCCTTTTACATATATCCAAATCTCCTGTTTCCAGGATCTGATAAGGACTGTGTTATTAGTCCCTGAAGGGTTTTTTTTTTGTTGTTTTTTTTTAAAGATGACCAGATTGGGCCTGGGAACATCAGAGGAGACAATCTCTTCAGAGCAAAATAGCTTGACATTGATTCCAGACATGCAGGGGATGGAGGAAAATCCAGAAGGCTGAGATGCTGTTGTCAAAGCCATGTGCACCGTAGCCTTGTCCAGCACTGTGGACACTACTGGCTCAAAAGCTGCAGTTCTTCCTGCAGTGATTGAAGGACAGCTGAAGTCATGCAGGAGAGCCGAAAACCCTGTAAGATTTCGGGAAGGGGAGTAATCTTGTGCTCCCTCTGCTCTATGAGTGCAAGGCCCAGCTAGCACAGCCAGCCCTTTGGGCACATCAAACAGATCAAGCCCTAGCCGAGACAGTGAGGTTAGCAGTGGAATTACACAGCTCTCTTGTTAGTTGCTTGTACACCATCTTTTACACTGCATGCACTTACTCTTTTGTGCTGAGCGTACGGATTCACCAGCAAAGTAGAATTTCAGGTATGCACTGGGATCCCATCCCAGAAAAATGCCCAACTTGTAGGGAACACACCAGCTCTCCACCCTGTCCTTTGGTGATGCCCTATGAAATCCCTCCAGGATGTGGGGGGCATGGACTCGGCCAGTGCAATACCTGTGCACGTGGACTGGGAGCTGCAGTTACGCTCCATCACGCAGCCACTGCTTCCAAAGGAGCAATGCTGCTGTTGGACAGGGGGGGAGGCCCAACTGTTGGCTAAACCCAGCACTAGCCTGGCTCTCCCAGGCCAGGACTGCATCCCCAGCAGTGCATACCAGGCCAGGCTTGGAGTATTAAATCTTCCTGTGTCCTGTCACAAACCATTCCTATGGTGATACAGGAACTTTACATTTTGGGGTAGGGGGAGAAGAAAAGTACGTTTTCATTCCAACATCTGGGAAGTGAAGGAAAACTTGACACAGATAAAGTTTCCCATGAGATCTCTTTGCTGTTCTCTTGATTTTCACCATGGCTCAGCTCACCCACAGCCTGTTGAACACTGATGGTATGGCCTGATGAGCAGCTTGCCTCCTTTAGCAATGATCTCCGTTTGCTCTTTTCTCTCATCTCAGTTCCCCTATGGAAATACTCATCTTTCTCTGAATCCTCTGACCTTCCTGCCAAGGGGAGCTCTTCCTAGCACCAGCTGCTTAGTTTAATCAATATGATCTTTTGCCTCTTTCCTCTGCTCCTCTTGCCCATGTGTTTGCTACAGCTACAGATTCTGCTGTGTGTCAGGAAGCCACCCCCTCGGGCTTTGTGGCAATCTCCACCTGCCCAGCATGGCGGGGGCTGGGGGGGGGGGCAATTAATTAAGAATTGTGTCATCACTCAAAGGTGGAACCAGCCAAGATATTTGCATACACTCATCAGAAAGCATCCTCCCGTCTCTCATCTTCCACAACAAAGAGCATTGAAAGGCTATGTGTAGTCTTCCCTTGTTTAAAACACAAGGTAACTGCTTTCCTCAGCACAACACCTGAAGAGACACAATTAATGCTCATGAATATTTGGATGTAGACAGCAGTGCCATCTGTGAGGACAGCAGAGGCAAAACATGACAGGGCACATGCTCTGTCATGTCTGATCAGCCTCTCAGCCTGGCTGCAACACATGCCAAAATAGCCCCAAAAGTGGAAAAAAAGGGAACACGTAGTGGAATAAAATCTGCTTGGACTGGGGGATGGAGGAAAAGAAGGCAAAGAGTGCAACCTGCAAAATTGTTCTGTCTTCTGGCATTCCCAGGTGATCCTGCTCTTGGCAGCTGAGCCTCCAAAGGCAGCAGCAGTGGAAGTGCGGCTGGACATGCCAAAGAGCAACGCCAGGGCACTGGGCATCACCAGGAGAGGAACCAGGGACAGAACCTGGGGGCACCTAGTGCCATGGCATTGTGGATTGCAGGTGCCTGCCAGCGAGTGAGGAGCCCAGGACCCGTCCTTGGGTCTGGTGATGTGGGGTGGGACCTGTTCCCTGACACAGCTGCAGAAACAAGCAAGAAATAGTTGTCCTCAAGCTGCAGTTGGCTGATCATTCAGTTCATTGACGTTCATAGCTAAATATAAAGACATATTTTTTATGAGAAAATTGTTCCTACTTTTTTTCCTCTGAAGAAAAATACAACAGAAGTAGTCCCAAGTTTTTCAGCTGCACAGATATAATTATGCCACTTAAATTCTCTGATGCAGGGGTGCAGGGAAAGTATGACTGCAGAGATTTAAAGGGTGCTGTTGCTATGGTGCTTTCTGAACTGGGATGTTTCTTGGCTCCTGAAATGTTAAACACTTAAAAAAGCAGCTTATCAGCTCAAGCTTTTTTAAAGGCCCATGAGAGCCCATGAGCCAAGCTTCTGTGTTAAACCCCAGATCAAGCTGGAAGGAGCCGATCGGGTTGTAAGAAGAACTGTTGGGAAGAGATGATGAGCTTCAGCAAGCTTGAGAAAACTGTGGCCAGTTTTTTCCCTCTGCCACCCCACCAATGGAGATGTGGAGAAACTGAAGAGCTTAGTGAAGGGTCATCGAAGTGACCATGGGTTCCAGCCTGTGACCTGTGAAGAGAGGCTGGGGCAGCTGTGCTTATTCAGCTGGGTGAAGAGGAGATGGGGAGGTGAGCTAATGGTAGCCCACAAGGACCTGAAGGAAAGCTATAAGATGACAAAGTCAAAGTAGTCTTGGTGGTGCCAGACAGCACAAGAGGGGGAAAAAATGCAAATTCCTGCTTGGGAGGTTAGGACTGTCCTTTAGGAGAAGTTTTTTCTCCAGGAAAGCAGTGCAGCACTGGAAGGGGTAACCAGAGAGGCCACAAAACCAAACTGCCTTGCACAAAGCCAGGGTGCTCCAGTGCTGGGAGCGTCCTGCTCCAAGTTGGACTTGGGGCTAGAGACCCCAAACCCACCCATTCCATCAGCATTCCTGCAATCCTGTCGCATTCCAGGGCAGAGAAACAGCTGGCACTGGTCCAGCCGGGGTGACGTCCACCTCTGGCCCTGGAGGTGGGGTGATATCCCTACCTTTGGGGACACGGCCATGGTTCTCCTTCTGGTCCAGCTGCAGGACGGCGGGGCTGAGGCAGCCGTGTGCCTGGCGCAGCTGGCAGGACGCATCTGCCTTCCAGGGTGGCCGCAGGCTGGCAAAGAAGAGCTGATACTCTCTGTCTGACAGCGGGCTGCCCGGAGCAGGAGGCACCGGCAGAGCAACAGAGGTCATCAGCAAGGTCAGCAGTCCTGCGGGAGAAGGCAGGCTGCACTTAATGCTACCTAACAGAGGCAAGTGTTGGGTGGAAATGAAAGAGCAGCTGGAGGAGTGGCCCACTCCCATCTGCTGGTGCTGAGTGGGGCACAGGGATGAGCTGGGCTGAGGTCTTCCTCCATCAGCCCTGCTTGCAGGACCCCAGGGGAACCAGGCACTCTGGGGCAAAAGGGGAAAAAAAATGATAAAGCAGGAAAAATAAAGGGGATGGGGGAAGGAAGAAAAAAAAAGAGAAAAAAAAGAAGAAAAAAAAAAAAAGAGGAAAAAGGAAAAGGGGAAATAATGAAAAAGAATAAAGAAAAAATAAAAAAATGTTAAAAGTTGGGGGGGGGTTTTGTGGGTTGAGTGGCAGTTGTTTTGGCCTGGTTTAGTTTGGGGGGTGGGATTGCTTTGGTTTTTGATTGTTTGCTTTTTTTTTGTTTTGTTTTGTTTTTTCTCTACCAAACCCCAGCCTTACCTGTCTGGCAGGCCCCACTGCCCCCCTGCCCCCCCCCCCCCCCACGCTGCCCCCCTCCACCACGCTGGGGGGTTGTGCCCTTGCACCGGGACAGCCCTCCTTACCCTCCTTACCCTCCTTTTGGGCCCCCTCCTCCCCTGCCTCCCCCACGCTCTGGGGTGGCCCTGCGAGGCCGGGCAGGGGCTGAGGGCGGGTGCTACTCACTGATCAGGCAGGGCCACCTCGCCATGTCCGCCCCAGGCCCGGTGGCAGTGGCGGAATGAGAAGGGGATGGTGTCACAGTTGGGGTGGGCGGTGGGGACGCGGGGGGCACGAGCCCCACCAGGCACCAGCTGATGGCTGCTGGGGGGGTGGGGGGGGAGCAGCGGGTGGGAGCCCAGCGCAGACTCAAACCTGTGGGGGTGTGTGGGGGGAAACGGGCGCTGCACGGGGAAGGAAGAAGCCAGGGCCGTGGGGACAAGGCAAGCAGGAAGGGTGGGAGGCAACCCGGGAGCTTCCCCCTCTGCTCGGGGACACGGTGGTGGCTAGCAACGGTCTGGCAACAGACCTTGAGGCCTGGCTAGGCTACCCCCAGGCTGAGGGTACCCCAAAAGCGCTACCTTTGGGGCACCTTGCACCCCAAAATGTTTTGTGCTCTTCTGCGGGAGAAAGGGGACAAAATCTGTTCCACCTGCAGGAGATTGAGCTGCACCCCATGCCTCCCCAGGGAGCATCCCAGCACTGGCTTGCTTCAGGACACAGTGGGAAGCTGGCTTGATCTCTCCCGAGCAGCTGTGCCGCTTTCTAAACCCCCAGCAAGTCACAGGAGCACCAGCTGGTATTCCTCTGCCCCTGGTCCGAGTGCCTCAAGCACGGTAAATCTTCCCCAGGCAAAAGCAGGAACGGTGCCGGCAAAAGAGGCTTCGGAACCACCAGCATGAAGGTGACCAGAGACCCGCAGGGCTGATTTTGAGGGAGACCCCAACACTCACATGCCCGTTGCCCGGTTCTTACTACAGAGACCAAAGCGCAGACACACTGACCCACATGTGCACCCCATGGCTCACAGCTGACAGTACTTCCCACGGCTGGGCACTTTCTGGTGTGAGAGGGTGTCCTGGGTTGAGTGAGTGGTGATTTTTGGTGGCAGGGGAGGGGGCTATCGGGGCGGCCCCCTGTGAGAAGCTTCTCGAAGCTCCCCCAGCTCCAAGCCAGCTCCACTTCTGTTTGGGAAATTGAGCCAGTCAGCTGCGCCTCTGCGATAACATATTTAAGAAGGGACGTGGTGATGGGCAGTGGGACTTGTGAGGAGGAGTTGCTGCAGCTGCGTGAACACCAAGGTCAGTGGAGGAACGGAGGAAGAAAGGAGGGGGGAGGTGTGCTGGAGCAGAGACCCCCCTGTATCCTGTGGTGAGATGGCAGGGCGGCCCCCCCCGACACCCATGGAGATCTACGGTGGAGCAGACATTGTTTTATGGCCTGTTGCTCCTGCTCGGATAATCAAGGTTCTGTGCCCGAAGAAGGCCAGGGTCTCATGGGAAAAGGCAGCCCCGCTGCTGTAATTCAGCGCTGGGAGGATTGCAGCATGCGGGGGAGTCCCACGCCGGAGCAGCTCGGGAAGGGCTGCAGCCGTGGGAGAGAATCCAGTCAGAGGAAGTTAGTGACCCATGACGGAGCAGTGTGGGGAACGCTGCGGCCCATGGGAGGAATTCAAGTCGGAGAAAGTTTGTGGAGGACTGTCTCCTGTGAGAGGGGGACCACGATGTAGCAGGAGGAACAAGTTTCGGACACTCCCCTCACTGAACATGAAGGAAGTGGCAGCACTGACTGCACCCCCCATTCCCTGCCCCTGCACCCCTGGGGGAGGAGGTAGAGATATCGGGAGCAGAGCTGAGCCCGGGAAGAAGGGAGGGGTGGGGGGAAGGTGTTCTCAAGATGTGGCAATGCTTCTCACTGTCCTACTCTGTTATGTGTTGTTAGTGTCTGTAATAAATGTATGTTCTTTTTTTCTTCCCCTAACGAGTCTGCCTTTTGTTTGTGATCATAAAGGGGAATTTTTCCCCATCCCAGTCCTATCTCGAACCCCAAGCCTGGCTCTCTGTCCCTTCTCATTGCCGGAGGGGAAGGGAGAGAGAGCTGCTGCATTGTGGTTGACTGCCAACCAGGCCTAAACCACAACAGAGGGAAAGACACGACCACAACCATCACGGGCAAGCAGCTGTAAGGGTGGTCGGAAAGAAAATGCTTGGCACAGCAGCGCCAAGAACTGCAGCTGTAAACAAAATGCAGGTTGGCATAGCGGCTTTGTGTACCCACAGCATCGCCCCACAGACTCAGCTTGGCTGCGATATGACACCCTTGCAGGACTGAAGAGGAGCTGCAGGCAAAGTGGGCAAAGTTTTCAATGGTGTAGCAGGATGCCGCTGAAGAAATTGCTTCTGTCAGGAGATTCCAGGAGATTTGAGCAGCTCTGCTGTATGCAACGGCTACAGAGAGTGCTGTAGCAGTGCCGGCTGCAACTGCAAGACTGACACATCACCTGCCAGCACCCTGAGTGGCCAAACAGGCTATCAAGGTGAAAGCTCAAATCCCTCCAGCCATGCAGGCCATTAAAAAGGTGTCTGGCAACAGGACATAGCTCAATGAGTCCTTGCAAGAGACAAGATGTAGTTTGCTCTAAGATGTCTTGTTGGAAGGTAATGTTTCTGAGAAGCTTGAAGCCTGGCCATTTAGAAACAGCATTGAATTTTAGAATGTTTTTTGCAGCTTCTTAGAAAGACAGTGAGTAGGAGACATTTTCCAGCTAGCTCTTGCCACTCACAATAAAACAGGCAATACTTCTGGGGCTTGCAATTTTTAGCCAGTTCTTAGTCTTCCATTGCTTCCTTTGAGACATATTGCTTATTAGCTGATTTTAGACAACTCCAGGGCCTTCAGCTCCCCAACTCTGTTAATCCCCTCTCCTCCCCTGTGACAACAGAGCTGAGGCTGAGTTCTGTCACCCTGACTTGAGCAGCTTCCCAGGGGAACTCAGTGCTGACCTCAGTGGCTGATGGACATGAGTGACCTAGGAAAGCACATCAATGTGGCACATCACGCAGTGTTATTAAGGTCTGGCAGGTGCTGGCTGTGTAGCCTGCATCTACATGTGCCATCAAGAGATTTATGGCATGTGAAAACAGGAAACAAGAATGAGCAGACCAGAGTCCCTGCACATACACTGAGAACTCAAACACAAGGCAGAAGATGAAAGAGTTGTCAAAGAAGTCATCCTTGGTTGCTGCTCTAGTAGCAATGCCTGGGGGTTGCTGGTGTATATTTGGAAAGAAGGTGATTAGTGATGTGAGGACAGAGTGGCTACTTAGCACTTCTCACGCACCGTGGCCATACCCTGGATTTGGTTCAGGTTGTCAAAAATCCTTCAGGGAACTCTTATGGTCCACAGCTGTGTTGAGAAGCCAGCTAATCTGCGGCATGCACCCGGCAGAGTTGGGAGACTGCAAGTGCAGGAAACACTGCTGTGTTGTTTGGTTAGGTTTGTGCTAGCTGGCTATGGGGCATTTGTGTTTTAAGTTTCCACAAAAAAGAAGCCATCTTTGGGGGAGGGATGAGGACAGGAGGAACAGTAGTTTGTACAGGACACGTCAATGCTGCGAGTGGGGGGGGCGTCTACGCCCTACTGCTGCATCAAGCAATTATAATGGTCAGTAATGCACAGCACAAGGGTGATGTTAATTCCAGTATTTTCTGATTTCTGAGGGTGAACTTGTCACCTTTAAGGCCGTAGCCCTGATGACCCTGATAAGCTGTATAATGTTTTGCACTGAAGCACATTTGCAATCTTGTTTCCAGAGCCACCGTAAAATGGCATTCCCTGCAGAGGGTGTTCCTGGGCTAGTCGGAACTCAGCGGGCTGATGCACGCTGCTGTGACCCCCGGGCCTGCAGCGCACCTGACGCCCACAGTAGGGACACGTAACAGCAGGATAACGACTCACTGGAGTTGCATTTTCCACATCACTATTCAACTGCCATGTTGACTCTGAGCTTTGGAAGAGCCTGTCTGGTTTGTGTCGGACCACCCTTTGGCAGACAAGCTCCTCTTCCAAGTTAATCTCGTTGTTGTCTTAAATACTTCGGCTGTTTCTCAGAATTTTCCACTCTGCGTGTGCCACCGCAAATGCCACCAACAGCAGCAATGCCTGAAAACCTCTTGAAAACCCTAGGACTGCGGCTCACAGACCCTTCCTCCACTGCTGCAAGGATTAAATGCTCTTTACCTTCATCAGATGATAGAAAACATCAGACAATCAAGGCGAGTGCCCAAAAATATCAACACCCTGGACATGACACACTGATCCAATCCCCCCAACCTCTTGTTTCTCTTCTACCTCGTGCAGGGGCACGGTATATGATGCACAGTCCTGCAGCTCAGGACATCTAAGGGCTGTGACCAGAGATGGCAAATACCTCCAGAGGAGGCTGACCTCACCGTAGCAGCACGGTGCCAAGCCAGGCCTTGGCTCTCGTGAGCAAAAGACCGATGGGGAAATCCGTCTGCAGAGCCAGATCACAAAA